ACCGCCAGTCGGGCAGAAAGGGCGGAACTGCCGTTGCAGTAAGAAAAGGCATTCCCCACAACCATGTAGACCTACCACCCCTTGTTTCAGTAGAAGCGACAGGGGTCTGCATACCAATTGGTAATAGCGAAGTGCTGCTTGCAGCTGTTTACAAATCTCCAAGCAAAGCCTGGAGTGATGCTGACATCACTGAGCTCTTAAGCTTCAGACGTAAGTCTCTTTTGGCAGGTGATTTGAATGCTAAGAACCCATTTTGGAATAGCAGAGTTTCAAACCCCTCAGGCTTGGAACTCGTTGATTTATTTGATAGGAGTGATTTCGAAATTTCAGCACCACAGTGCCCCACTCATTATTCCCCTGCGGGAAATGGTGACGTGTTAGACATTGTGGTTCACCGAAATATCAGAGTGTCAGAGGTCGTCGTCTCTGATATTTTGGATTCAGATCACCTACCAATAGTATTTCACATTCTGGATCACGTTAAAATTAGCAACCTTTCGGAACCCATTGAAAAATTCCCTCTGATACCGGTCCAACAAGTCCTCTGCAATTGCATAAGGTTGCCATCGTTGCACCTCGGACATTGCATGGGGTACCCAGCGCGCTGCAATTTTGCGGTATCCAAAAATATCGTGCAGAATGTGGAACACGAATTTGACATACGCCTACCTCAGCAGCTAACTCCTGCGCAGCCCATCAACGATCGATATCCAGCAAAGGTTCAAGAAACTGAATTGTGTGGTTGTCAACATGGGGTCGTCCTGAACGACGGCTGTCCTGAATGGCATCCCTCCTTTCACGGAACAATTTCACCCACCGTGCCACTGTGCGATATGGCAAAGCAGCATCACCACCTGCTTCTCGCAGTCCCTGATAATAGTGTAACGTGTTTGCAATCCAGAAGAGTCACTGCTATGGAAACGCTAGAATAGACCGTTACAGAGGAGACAACAATTGCCCCATTGTAGTTCTAACAGGAGTCTCCGTGGTTATAACAGAGGGTTCGTTGCCTAACAGCGGCCAAGGTTATAAAAGCCCAGCTTCAACGAAAAGTCTTCAGTCTCGGATCAGCCTTCGGAGAAGAAAGTCTCGGAAGAGCCAGCTAAGAAGCAAGTCGTGATCGAGCCATCTTGGAAGTCAGTCTTGGGATAACCGCCAGAAGAGATAGTCCAGCATCGCCGAGTTATTGTAAGCAGTGATTGTGACACTGCAAGTGTGATGATTGTAAAGTGTGTAAGACGAGCGAAGGAATAAACTCGCTATATTGGGACAACGGCGTGAACTTATTAGTAGCGTGACACCCAGACACGCTACAATAGTTTTGTGCACTACGACCTCGCGCTACTTCAATTTTTATCCAGGAGGTGGTTCTTGTTTCGTAAACATGTTGTTAGGGTGCTTGATCTGGGCTCGTGTACTTCAAGACGATGCACAATTCATCTCAATGAAACATAACCAGAACCACTCACTGCACTACTTCAACTGAACTTCTGCTATCAGCTACAGATGGCGCTAGTGCCACCTGACGCACTTCTTTCATGTTACAGCAGTGTTGCCACTACATTTTATCCAACCCTTGTATATAAACGTAGCTCAGATGGTGGTCGTAGATGGCTATGTTGTCTTTTTAATTTTTTCCCCCCTCAAATTTTCTTCTTCTTAATGGGGCTACGTGATTTTAAATTTTACTTTTAGTTGTGTGTGTATAGTTACAATAGTAGAATTGGTGCGCTGTTGACATATTTGTGTATCTTTGCGTTAGTTCAATTTTCTTGCACGCTTGACATATTTTTATTTATGGGAAAATATTGCCTATCTTGTGTTGCGCGTGTGTGCGAAAATCTACGAATATTTCTGCGAAGTAACATTCACTCCTATTGCAGATTTTTCTGTATATTGGCTAAATGGTTTTTTTTCTGCAACTGGCCTCGTTGTGGTTTTTGTTTTGTTTTTCGTGGCGGTATTCTTTTGGCTGATTATGGTGTGTTCAAATTTCAGAACTTTTTTTCCACAATTCTTGTGCAACTTCGTCCAAGCTAAAAGTGGAATATACAGTGCAGCAGGATGCTGCAACAGAATATTATGTACAGTGGTCAAACTAAAAGCATTCATAATTTTCTAAACTGTAAGCGAAATCTGCAAATAAAAATAAAATTTAACAGAATATGCCTAAAAATGAGGATAACTCCAAATTATGCACACATTAAAATACAAATACAAGCAAAGACACTAAGAATAAAAATGAAGTAAAATGTGGGTGCGTAAACATTTCAACCTAAAACAATACTACACATACACACAAAACTCGAAGAATTGGCAATATATTTGGCCAATCAATAAACCAAATATTACAAGAATAAATGGAATACACACACGACGACGACGACAACAACAAATACACAACCTATCTATGTTCCAAACAACAAATACAACAAACAAGTACTCAAACTTCCCTTTGTAAAAATTAAACCAACACGAAATTCACACAAGAAGAAAGAAAACTATTAAGTATAGATCTAACATATAATTTGCATTATAAAAAATATCTGGATAGAAACACTTGGCTTAGAAGCAGAAACCGCAATATATAATCTAGATAGAACAACAATACCACAATACTGCAAATACGCAGTAGCTAAAAATCATGTAAGTCACCCGTTGAATATAACGATAACATAAATAACATAAAGAACAAAAATAGTAAAGAAGCAATCATACACATAAAAACAAAGTATAAACAAATAAAATTTCTATAAGAAAAGCATACAGATGAAAGCAATCGCTATACTTATGTAAGAAGAATACGAACCTAAGGTAAAGAACTTCGTAGAAGATAATTTCACAGTAATCATCAATAACCCAACACTGCACTACCAAAAATACCACACGGAAACAAACAATGTAACATCTTACAAAGAGAAGCCATATGGGAATATACAAATATGAGCCCAGCATCCCCAAACCTCCACGCCACGATAGAATTGTACAAACGAAATAAATCTGTTAGTCCAACAATAAACTGGAAGAACGCACCCGCTTATGAACTAGCGAAACATTTATCTGAAACACTATTTATCTACCTGCACCTGATATATTGATACACTGTAAACAACTTCATTCACCTAATTAGAGCTCTAACAACCACGGAAGTCAGCAAAGAAACGAGAATATGCTCATTTGATATAGAAAATACATACACTAACATATGAAAAAGTCCGCGCCATAGCTCAAGCGGCCAGTCGCTGGCTTCCCACCGCAGCGGCTCTGGTTCGATCCCGGCTCTGGTCAAGTGGGATTTGTGGTGGACAAAGTGGCGCTGGGACAGGTTTTCTCAGAGTACTCCGTTTCCCTTGCCAATCTTCATTCCACCAATTGCTCCACAATCACCCTCACCTATCATCTGGGGCTGGTACAATAGGCCAGAAGTGGCCGCAGTACAAGAGACTTAGTCCCACCCCACTAGCAATAAAAGAAACATACGAAAAATAGACAGTATGGATATAATTTCTAACGTACTGAAAATCAACTCAAGTATCAATTGATCTCTGTCTCCCTACGTTGATTATAACACATTGATGCTGGATCGTGAGTGGCTGCGTTCCCCTCTTAAACAGGTTTCAGTATTTCCTTATTGGGGTGGCTATGGAGTTTAGCGTTCAGACATTTCCCAACTTTAACCAGCCAATTTCCGATGCGTTCTGAATCAACATCCTTCCACGATCTGATTCTAATTGCGTTCATAGATTCGTAGTCTATTGCTCAAGCCCGCTCGAACCTCCGCCATCGCGTCCACTTTCGTTGATTGTCAACTTTCCACACCGTAGCTCAAACCTGTAGCATATACCCTTTGAAGGAAAATGATAATCCAGCCTTCTTAAATACAACTATTCCAGGTTTGTCACAGTTCACAATGTTCAGTGCATTTGGTTAAAGAGGTGTTTCATGTGAAAGAAAGGTTATGACTTTCGGGGCACTGGTGAGAAACTTTCTGCAGATAAATTAATTTGCAACCTAATCTCTTGTACTCCAGAGCTGCAGAGGCTCTTATTCCGTTGTTATTTTTTTTTTTGTAAAGGGGATGGGGGACCAAATTTAATAGAACTTCACCAAAATCCAACCCAAAGGATATGGGTGAAGTGATATTGAACTTACTTATGGAGCTGAGCCCTTCTTGAGAAGCTGTCAATTGTGCAGCCACTCAAGAATTTTTCAGCCTTTTTTAGAACCCGAAGGTTCATTACTATGTTCAAAAGAGCCCTCCAATTGTCCGTATCCTGAGCCAGATTAATCCAATCCATGCCATACCATCCTATCTCACTAGGATACCTTTTAAATAATGTCCACCCACCTACACCTTGGTCTTCCCAGTAGTCTCTTTCCTTATGATTTTCCCACCAATATCCTATATGCATTCCTCGTTTCCCCCCTTCTTGCTACATGCCCTGTCAACCTCATCTTCCTCGACTAGTGATATTGAACACTGTTCAAAAATCACTAGTCGAGGAGTAAATACTTTTACAACCAGATCTGTTGTACTGCAGAGTCTCTTTCCTTCTGGCTTTCCCATCAATATCCTATATGCATTCCTCGTTTCCCCCCTTCTTGCTACATGCCCTGTCAACCTCATCTTCCTCGACTAGTGATATTGAACACTGTTCAAAAATCACTAGTCGAGGACAATGAGGTTGGCAGTGCATGTAGCACGAATGGGGGAGGCGAGGAATGCATATAGGATATTGGTTGAAAAGCCAGAGGGAAAGAGAAACTGCAGTACAAGAGATGTGGTTGTAAAAGTATTTAGTGCTAGTAGCGAAAAAAGCATTGGAGAGGGCAGAGGGGGGACACTCAAAATAGTTGGTAAAGTAGCATACATTCTTACCGATTGTGCTCTCGGCCCAGGAGGTCATTTTAAATTTAGTTCGTGTAAAATGAACATAGATGGCAGCAGCATTGTACCGAGGTGTCATGGCCGCCATGTTGCCATCCAATAACATGGGAGTTTCACGGGGCTGCTCTGGTTAACGTTGTCGTTGGTGTTAACTTGTGTTAAGAGGAGTTGCAAGTGTTGATGCTGCTGAAGTTGCGATTTTAAATCTGAGGCATCGGTGTATATGCCATACTACTGAACGTAAAGGCATAGTGTTCCAGTTGTAACAAAATGAGAGCGAAGGTATGTATGTTATATTTTTAACGCTGTCATTTCTGTATGCATAAAATATGAATATGTGGGTGCATTTCAAGTTGCTTCATGTACATCGATGAGGCATAAAAAGTGCAATATTTGACGAATGTAGTACGAAAAGTGTATAGTAGGGACGGTAACATGTAAATACTTTGGATAATGAAAAAGTAGTGATGTGACACCAAAAACAGCAAAACTGCAACTTCATGATTTTAACTTTAGCATATACTGAAAAACTTTATTCACTGCGGTTTGCTAGAGGTTTATACAATTACGAACTGCACAGCCTACCTTTGCTGGGGCACAAGATTTTAACAAGGATTAAGCCCCATTTTTGACTAGGGGTTGGCATGTTATCTGTGTCCCCACTTAGTAATGAATTTTCTGTTGTTTTTCAGTGGAGAAAGAAGCGAATGCGGAGACTGAAGCGAAAAAGGAGGAAGATGAGGGCTAGGTCTAAATAAACAGCAAGTGGGGTCAAAATAAGCAGTGAGTGACTACAGTAAGTCAGAATATCAGTCGTGTTTATGTTGTATCTGTGCAGTAAATTAGACACTGTTAACTGTTCTGTTTTGTTTCAGGATCACTGCCTTGCCAGAAACCAACAACACAGCGGCCAGGAGTTTCAAGCTGTATGGAGTGTTGTTAAAAATCTGGGATTGCTGTATTGACATTGACTTTTGTATTTGCACATTATCTTAGTGTCCCATTAATAAAGAATAGTGACTGTACAAATGTTCGTAGTATGTCAAAACGATCAACATGGAATAGTGGGAGCATGATTAGATATTTTGAAAAGTGAATCTGGAATTGTACAAAGACAAAAACAACTCTTTCCACTGTAACTATTTAAGTTTTACCACTTGAAAACTCAGCACCCTTACATGTTTCGATCCTTACAGGTCATTTTCAGAGGGAACATCAATACTTATTTGGAAACCACTATCACAATAGGTGTTCTGATTGTTAAATTACCTACACAATGCCTGGAATACACAATATACTCAATATTCAACTTTTCACAATCACAGTAGCCTTCCTGGTATAAAAACTTTGTTAAGTTAAAATTTATAAACCAAGCAGGTTTATGTCACTTCTCCTGTCTTCTTTCTTGGAGGGGGCTGAACTTATGCCACCACGCTATCTTGAGAAGGAGATTCTTAGTATAGTCTGTGTTCGTAGTTTGCTGTATTGTTTTCACTGTACAGTCCATGTTTTGTGGCAGCAGAAACAAGTGTTATATTTTGAGTCTTGTTTAATGCAATTTAAATTACATATTTCTGAGATAGATGCAGTGTAGCCTGGATGGATAAGAAATTGAATGTGTTCAACCATCTTGTGTTGGGGCAATGCTGTGTGTCATGGTCAGGGGATGGCAACTGGGATAGGGGAAAAGGAAACACTAACTACTGCCTCTGTGTGTGGAGGCAGATCTCGACTAATCAGAGAGCTTAAACAAACCAATCTGAATACCCACAATTACATGCGGTTATCGTGGTGCATTATATGCAAATTGGTAAGTATGAATTTTGATTTGATGTGGTTGCGAAACGAAAGTAGACATTTGCAAACGAAATTAGAGCTCCATGTTAAACATATTATTTGTGTATGTGAATATTATGCTTACTACCACAAATGGAATTAGAAACATAGAATTCTTTCAAGCCTAAAATTTTTGAGGTTATCATGAACTGCCATCTAAATGATATTTGTTTTATGATATTTTATGCAATTTTCGGTTCATCCCAAAGATTGTCTGTAGAATGTTAAAGAGTACCGTGATGCTGTTACAATGTTTGTATTGCTTCTTGCAGTGTAAACATGAAAACAAAATCATGTTCTGCTGCTGGGTGCTTGTCATCCAGCAAGCAAGGCATCAAATTCTTCAGCTTTCCAAGGGATGCAGCATGGTATGTCTGTTTTAATTAATGGTGTAATTACTGTGTGTTGCTTAATCCAATGAATAAATTAAGTTTAGTGTATGACTGTGTTCAATTTATATTTGTGCAGCAAACATTTCCTGGAAAGTGATTTCACTACACATTGCAGCAAGCCACAACACTGTATTGGCTACAACTGCACTCTATATGAATTATGTTCTGTTATGAGAGAAGTGGCTAGCGAGAATAATGAGAGCTAATTTTTGAAGTAATTGTCCCAAGAACCCAGTTGTGATCAAACAAATGTCATTGTGAAGAAAGCAGTCTTCTGGGATTTGGCACCGTGTATATGTGGTCATAGTCACCGCCGTGAAAGCCTCAAATCTTACAAATGTCATTGTCATCATTCATTACTTACGGAACTGTACATCAATATACAATTTTATTATAAACTTATTTTACTGTCTTATGTGCAACTTTTTAAGTTTTAAATTTTAAAGTTAATAAATCATTTCACATAAGACTGTAAAATAAGATTTATAATAAAATGGAAGAGTGCAACAGGATGCTACAGTACAAACTTATCAATACACAAGTTATGTAGGATATGTCAAATGTTTTTAGGGTAATTAAAAATGTTTGAAAAGCAGATCACACTATCAGTAATATGATTTATAAGAGAATAAGGTGGTGATGACTGCTGTGAGGAATAATTTAATGACATATACAAAATCTTTATAATGGCAGTCCCTTTCAAGTAAAGTGTGTTTTTTTCAAATCTGAAGAAGTCCATCATGTAAGGAAGCCCACTAATTTCCTTTTTAATGTTCTTTCAGTGGGGTGCTGTGGTGAATACCTGGCAACAGCTGTTTGATGATCACCTTGTGAACACATTTGAAGCTATTCGTTCGTAGTCTGGTTTGAACAATAATCCAACTGTGGGACAGTTTGTAGATGCCCTGAAGACTAACATCATCAGTGCACTTGCTATCAGAGGTCTGTGTGGAACTAGTTGTGAGGATGATGGTGCTACTGTTGCGTGTAACCTACAGTCATTGTTCAGGGCACCTGATGCTTCTTCACCAAATCCGTCCACAAGTCGTGGCAAGGAAACCCCTGATGAAGTTCCTGAGTTTCCATGTTACTCAACAAGTACAGAAGGACATGGTTGCTGCAGTACATGCTGGTGACATGGAAGTGTTCTCAGTAGCCTATGTCAGTGGTTCCATTGGAAGACAGGTGCTTCATGGTGTCAGCTGTGATGCACGCAAGACATGCGTGACATCTGAAGTGCTGCTGTCAGCCAATGTCATATATTTGTGAGACATTGGTGTGGAGACTGTTGGTATGCTGTAACTCTAATATAATCTATGATGGCAGGCAATTCATGTTGCAGCATATCACAGCTGCCATTAAGAGCACCATTGACTTGGAGTGGATTAGGTGTACTGGTTGTTCACTTCACTACCAATGAATAATAGATGGTATTGTGAGATATCTCACAAGAATTTACATTCCTTGGTGGTGTAAGTGAACAAACATGTTGATGACTGAATCAGCCAGGCAGAGGGCCACAAAGAGGAAGAAGATTAAGATACTGACACATCAGTAAGTCATTAGGAAAGTAATGCCTCTTCATCTTTGCCTTTTAATATCCTGCCCACACCATCCCTGGAAATTGGCAGAGAGTAGTTATTGAATTAATGGAATAATATATTCCAATTGCTCACATGAGCATCAATAGTTGTTTCGTAAGTTGGAGAAAGTTACCCTGGTGACAAGCAACTGCAACTACCATGCCTTCACATGCTTGTCTCAAACCTCTGGTTTTGAGTAATTTGTTGATAACATTGTCACCTACAGTTGGATTACATAAAAGAAACCTATTCTGATCTTGAACTCCATCTCTTTCTTGCTTTGGAGACCTGTTTCCTTCTTCCCAGTATATTAGAACATCATTCTCAGAAGATGGTCAGAGTTCATTCTGCCCTCTATCTGAAAATAATTAGATTTCAATCAAGAATTGTGTGGGAAATTCTTTTCGGACTCAAATGTTTCGTTTTTATATGTGGGTAAGAGTGAAGTGGCATTACTTTATACTTGACTTGCAATCTTCAGGTTACCTGATTCAGTGTGAAACACCGAGGAGCAGACTCAATGTCAGGATTCAGTGTATATTTTGTAATTAAATTTATTAACTACTTCCTAGGTAGGAACTTTTACTTATTAGTGTCTACATATTTTATTCATCTAATTTGTTATTACGGGTATATCCCTTCAGTCATTGCATTATTTTGTATTGGATTGTGTTCAGCATTGATCTTATGAACATAAATATATAAACATCATATTTTTAAGGTTCATTATATTCCTTCAGTTATTTTATTCTGTTGGCCATATTATTGTGTTCAACATTGAACTTGTGAACATTTACATATTTAAGATTTTCAAGGTTCATTATATTGCTTCAGATATTTTATTATGTTGGCCATATTATTGTGTTCAATACTTTCAAGGTTCATTATATTTGTTCAGTTAATTTATTATTTTGGAAACATGAGCATGTTTCAGATCATGAGGTTTGTAAGACAAAGACAAAAACAACTCCGTACAGTGTGACTATTTAAGTTTTACCACTTGAAAACTCAGCACCCTTACATGTTTCGATCCTTACGGATCATCTTCAGAGGGACCATCAATACTTATTCGGAAACCACTATCACAGTAGTGCTAAATACACACAATGCCTGGAATACACAGTATACACAATATTCAACTTTTCACAATCACAGCAGCCTTCCTGGTATTAAAACTTTGTTGTTTAAGTCAAAATTTTATAAACCATGCAGGTTCGTGTCACTTCTCATATCGTCTTTCTTGGAGAGGGCTGAACTTGTGCCGCCTGTCTATCTTGGAAAGGAGATTCTTAGCATCGTCCGTGTTTGTTCGTGGCTTGCTGAACGTAGTTATTTTTGTCTTTGTAATTGTTAGTGTGTTGGACCAGAATGAACTCGCTCGGTCCCTCCCTCCCNAAGAATTTCCCAGCATTTTATGGAATCCGAAGGTTCATCACCGTGTTCACAAGAGCCCTCCACTGGTCCCTATCCTGAGCCAGATCTATCCAATCCATACCATCCCATCCTATCTCTCTAAGATCCATTCTAATATTGTCCACCCACCGATGCCTTGGTCTTCCCTTCTGGCTTTCCCACCAGTATCCTATACGCATTCCTTGTCCCCCCATTCGTGCTACATGACCTGCCCACCTCATCCTCCTTGACTTTATCATTCTAATTATACTTTGAGAAGAGTACAAGTTATGAAGCTCCTCATTATGCAGTTTTCTCCAACCTCCTGTCACTTCATCTCTCTTTGGTCCAAATATTCTCCTCAACACCCTGTTATCAAGCACCCTCAGTCTATGTTCCTCCCTTAATGTCAGAGACCAAGTTTCACACCCATAAAGAATCACAGGCAAATTTATAGTTTTGTAGGACCAGAATGAAACAAATAAAAAAAAAAGTTTGCAACAGTTCTGCAATTATTTTATTGCTTTTCGTATATTATTAAATGCAATCTTAATCTTGTTAACAAGAGAGTGTATCAGATTCTCAAGTTTCATTATACTACTGAAATTAATAACAAATGGAAACCTCAGTATTATTACTTCTATACATGATATATAACACATTAATGTAACTGAAAAGCTATGTTCTGTGCAGCTTTCAGGTATAAGTTGTAAGCAAAGTTATGAAGTTGAATAAAAGTATCTCTGATGGAAACAGAATTTTCTTTCAAGTTTACCCACCATCAGCTTTCCTAAACACAAGTATTTTATGTATGTTATAGTTCAAATATCCATTGAATTTCAGTGAGGGAGTGTTGAATTGATGTAAATGAATTGTTCTTATTTTACAGGCACT